CATTAAAAATAATACAGATTTTTCATCATTGCATTTCATTTTCATATATTTGTTTATCATTCAATTAAGCTTGCATTTAATAATGATAAATCGTTGCATGAATCTTGTACAGCAACGAACACATTGTTGATAAATTATGTAAATAGATACTAGGTCATAAATGTAACTCGTTGAATAAAAAAATATTATGCTCGCCAGAGGCTCGCATAATATAATTTTATTCAACTCGTGCAATAAATTCAGTATTGAACTTACACTCATTCAATATCCTCTATTTATGTCACTAGCATTTCTCCTACAACCCTTACCTGTCCCTTCCACCACACACAAACAAACTCGTGAAAAACATAGTGTACTGTGTCATTACATCGAAAAAAAAGACATTGAAGTAAACAAATATCAAAGCCATTCAACTTTTCTTAATGGAATATTAAAAGTCACAACTGTCACGTGACGACTAGCAGACAAAATAAAACATTTATATAATTTATATGTTCTAATGGAGATTGTTAATGGAAAAGGCAAACCTTTGAATGAACTAGATTTTGGTATTATTATATGTATTGATAAAGTCAAATGTTAATAACCTCATTTTGTTATATATTAAGTAAATAAATATGTAATATGTATATTAAATTTAGTTTTGATGTTGTTGTTACATCATTTATATATGTAATTACTCACTACAGTGTTTTTCAATAATAGTGGGAAGCATTAATTTTTCAAATGTGTTAAAGTAAACATGTTGAGATATAATGTGTCGATACTTACTAGCATTGCTATAAAAACAGAAATGAACACGGGTTTTTACAGATGTGTAAATAATAGATACAACCATTCACGCTATATGTATATAGGGAAAAACCATCCATCGATACCATGAATGGTTACAGTTATCCATTAATGATCGTAAACTGTATGGCGATTGGAAACTCTGCCAGGAGCAGGGATAATATATTCGTCCTTAGAATGAACCTAATACAGCGCTGCTGTACAACATTTATCCGTCTTAATTTAGACTTATTGTACATGGTGACCACGGCACCTTACAGAGCTATTTGCGTCATGGTTGACCTTGATTTCATTAAGGAGGTCAATAGTCTACTGCCACAATGATTTAAAGTACGGGAAGAAAGAGTTGGTTTTCAATATTTCTTTTTAGAAATATACGATACAGAATCACTATTTTAAAAATGTTGCCGCTGTTTAATGCATTCTAGCAATATAAGACAACTTCATCCCGTTTAGTTTTGTTTTGATTAAAACTATAAAAATCTGAAAGAATTTTAATTTAAACAGTTCTCGAAAAACTTTACTAACATACGAGTATCTGTCAATTACAATCAATTTAATCTAACATTACATAAAGTGTTACATACGAATGTTTGAGAGAAAGGCATTTTATTTAAAAAATAATGAAAAATTAATAACCAATATAATGAAATTATGATTTGCTTCATGACAAAAATTTGGAATAGTGAAAAAGGAAAAATAAAGGACGCACAGGAGAAAATTGAAATGATTGTGGGTCCGATTTATTTGAGTGTGTTAAGAATAGAATAAGCAAAAGCAAGCTTCCAGCAGAAATGAAGATAAAACTATAAATTGGAGCATAAGTTGTCAGTTACAAATGTTATACTTAGTTTAAACTTTATTTATTCAATAAAGTGTACATAAAATAACATTAACAAATATTTCACAACAAAGTATTTCAGACTGGATTGTTATACTTCTTTGTATGAATTCTAAAATTTAGGCAAACTGTTTTATATTACGATACCTGGTAAAACAGTTGTTTCCCTTTCAGATGTTTAAATCTTTAACTTCCGGTCGTTTAATCGTTCGTTTAATATCAAAGAAAAAAAATTACACAATACGTCTGTTAAAAGTATAATTACCATATGCATAGCGTTCTGATTTTCAAAACAAAGCCTTCTACCGTTGTATTAAAAAATCAGTTAATTGCCCTTTTCAACATGTCCTCTTAAGATAATTGCACTAAGAAAAAAAACAATGTAATTCAGATAAGAATTAGGACTAAAGGTAGCTTGACCTGAATTATATTTAGATCATCATTCGAGTTTCTTTGAAATTCTTCTTGGAAAGACAATTATTTCCATTTATTTAAAGTCAAGACGGTAATTATCGAAGTTCTAATAATACGTTTTTGTCATATTAGTGCTAATATAGTTTATAATAATCATATGAGACATGTCATGACAAAACCAACATAATGGGTTTGCGAACAGCATGGATCCAGACCAGCCTGCGCATCGGCGCAGTCTGATCAGGATCCATGCTGTTCGCTTACCAAGTCTATTACAAGTAGAGAAACTGATAGCGAACAGCATGGATCCTGATCAGACTGCGCGGATGCGCAGGCTGGTCTGGATCCATGCTGGTCGCAAACCCATTATGTTGGTTTTGTCATGACACGGCTCAATTATTAAAATGTGGTTTTCACAAGAGACCTTAGACTTTTATCTGCTTACATAAGCTAATTATAAGAGTTTTAATTTTGGACGTATTTATGTCCAGGGCATGCATTCTCACGATAAAGCATCAAACAATACTGAACGTCTCTTCTATTATAAAAATAATACAAACGTGTTAAGTTTAAACAATATTTTATTAATGAACATTTCATTTACATGGTAATTGACAAATAATAAATTGCACGTATTGAGTAGGAAGCTTGAAAAGCTTTTTTAGAAACTCTCTCCGTAAGCACCGTCTCAAAGAGTCTGTGTAAAATTGTGACAATTATATATGCAATTTTGTTATAAATATACATAATATTTTCATTGTAAATTTGCTTCTTAACGTGTTCAAATACATGTATGTTAGAAGATCATATGTTAGGAACCTTTCGATTATCACATGTTAACCCAAAATTCTAGTTCAGATGCATGAAAACAATACTAATATAAACGCGATACCTATTGCAAAATCTTAAAATATATCCGAAAAAAGCGCAACCAAGCTGGCTAATAGATAGTGTTCTTCGGAATCTTTGTATTAATTTGAAATAAGGAAATTTTACTATAAAGTTAAAAATAGATATTACGTAACTTATTTACGGGGTAAATCTTGCAAGACTCGATATTTTGTAGAACATTCTAGTTTCTTCCCTTTAAATGTTATGTTTCTACAGTTTCAGATACACAGACTTGCATGTGATACAACTATCTTTCTGATAACTTGTTTGTAATTTTAAAATGTTTCCGGAACAGGACAAAATTAATTTACCGAACTCAAATTGTCCCAAACTTATTTCCTAAATTATTACTTTTTTTTCTTTTTAGAAATGCAGCATATTATAGGCAAACTAGCACACAATTTGTTATGTTTGGATGACAAATAACGATTCTATCATTTTGAAAGATATTGATAAATATAATTTCATCGCACTTTCTTGAATAGAATAGAAGAAAAAAACAATTAATTTAGAATGGTTTCTTAGAGGTCTGCTATGTGAAGACTTACTGTTAGAAAAGAAAAACGTCACAAGGAACATATGGTACACCTATTGTAACATTTAATATGATTTAACAATAAAGTATAATAAACAGCATAATCTATGACAGAAACAAGAGTTCTTTGTTTACGAATATTGACTCATGTTTGATTTAAAAAAAAAACTACAACAATAAAAAAAACAAATATCATGACTACTGTAGGGAAACAGAAATCACAGTGTTCCATAGTTCAAAACATTTATTTCAAACAAATATACATCAAAAAACCAATAACATTCTTAACGGAATGAAAACAAAAATATCACCTTACTCTTACATGGATAAACAGAGTATATGTGTATATGTTCGAACAAATCCGCGCAGTCTGATCAGGATCCATGCTGGTCGCTATCAGTTATAGGGTTTGAAAGCGAACAGCATGGATCCTGATCTGACTGCGCGGAGGCGCAGGCTGGTCTGGATCCATGCTGGTCGCAAACCCACTATGTTGGTTTTGTCATGACGCGGCTCAAATTAAGGTGAAACTTTGTTTTATGGAAAGCACACTCTCTTATGATCGATATAAAACTATTTATATAATGACGTCTGCTTGCGGAAACGTTGTTCCTCGATCTATTAAACATTACATATTTCACTGGAACGTTATAAAAATAGCAACATAGCAAAACCAATAAAATATCAACGAAAACTTGAATCATTTCACTTTTCTAAAATAGGTCATGTTTTTGCACATTAAACAAAAAAAATAGGCAAAAGCACAAACTTGATGACGCAATAAACAACCTTTGAACGAGTTCTGAAAAAAATGTTAATTCGTTAGAAGAACTGAAAGCTTTCGTCAGAGCACCCAGCCATTGTCGTCTGCAGTCTACGGGTGATGACATCACGGAACGCTCGCGAGATCGATTAGCTCGTATTACTCCAATTCTATTGACATCAGAGAGATTCTCCATTCATTTTTTTCTGCAATATCAATTCATTTTGAGTGAATGAAACACATAACAATGCGTGGGCGGAACGAGCAAAATGCATCGTTTTGGTAATGACAAATTATATATTTTGTTTCAAATAATTCGATTATTCGGTGAGTAGAATTTTATGAGAAAGTTTAGTATGGTTTGTATATTTTACAAATAATAGTACGCATACGATGGTTTTGTAGTATTGGAAAATCCGTCAACAGGTCGCTTGGCAGCCAAGCTCTCCGGAATCGAATGACGTCATTGCGAGAGGTTAATCCGCAAAAGCACGTGTATAATTTACATCTTAAAGAAGAAATATACGTTTGGTATGTCAGACTATGTTAAAGCATGACATTTCGAAACGTCAAACTAGTGCCTCTTGATTTATGCACAAAGGGCGGGAAAATGCAAGAGCCTTACTAATGCTTTAATGTGAAATTTAAGCTAAGGCTTCGCCCGGCTTATAAATAATTGCAATATACCGGTAAATACAGACGATTGGATATTCATTTAATGACACCATTGAATTCAAATAGTCAGGAATTTTGCAATTGTTGCAGACGAGTGTAGAAGGATGGCTACGGGAGGAGATGAGCTTCTCGAATTGAAAGGTAAATCATATTTTATATCATGAAAAATGACTGCACTTTTTTTTAATTTTTGTTTGCACTTTCAGTGTTTGCAAATAAGCATGCATTGCATTGATTAGAAAAACGTAAGACATTAAAACTTTCACCATATTCATTTATAGTTAAAATTTATTAAATAATCAATAATAACAATTAGTAATTGTGATATATTTGGTATAATCTTAAGAATAATTCCAATCATACTGTTAAATATTACCTTTTAAAATTATGCAATCTATTGTATTAAATTATTATTTAATCTTATAACTCTGACATAAAATAACGGACATGTTTTATTATACAACAATAGCAATCGAATAATAAAGAAAGAAGTTGCAAATGTTTGTTATGTATTTGTTGAATTTTATTTTTGTATTTGAAAATATTTAAAAAAAAAATATCGAGTAAATAAATGTTTGTTCTATGACTAGAACTAGTAAATGTTGATACCACTTGATTTTTTAATGTATTTATTGTTGCATATTAATATATAATACAATTAGATAAAAAAAAACTACATTTTCTTAATAGAATTATTATTTGTATTGACTATCTTATTATATTTTGATATATTTATTAATTGATATTATTTGGAAAAAAGCAACGCTATCTTATTGATTCTAGAATTTGATGTTTTGTTTCAAATATTCAGGTTTTATTTTTATTGTTCTGTATATGATTTGAAAAAGTTACACTTTCTTTATAAATCTTATTTTTTTAAATTACATGTTAAGAGGTTGAGAGCAGGTGTATATCGAATGGGAGAATTAATTTTCAATAGAAACACATCTATATCCCACTTCTTATAAATGTTAATGAGATAAGAATGAATGTGAGTAATGCATAAGGATTACTTTATCCAGGGACATTGACAAAAAAGTTATAACTTAGTTAAAGTTAAAATTCTTATAAGCCATTTCTTTGAAGCTTGTAAGATCACTCTGAATTCGTGATAATCAAAAATTACCAAAATGATTATTGTAAAATGGATAAATATATTTATAATTATAAAAGTGATAATAAAAATTGTGATAACGACTACAACAAAGATAATAACCATGATAAGGATAAAAATGATAACGATTAGGATGAAGATAATGAGATCAGAAATGATAATTGTGGTTATGATGATGATAATGATGAATTTTTTTATGATAATGAAATTGGTATTGATAGTTAACTTGTGATAATGAAGAACATGATAATAATAATGATAATAATAAAAATAATAATAATAATAATAAAAATATAATAATAATAATATTAATGATGATGATGATAATGATAATGATGATGATGATGATGATGATGATGATGATGATGATGATACTGATGACCATGATTATATTAGTAATGATGTTGTAATTATAAGTAATAGAGATATAATAATAATAATAATAATAATAATAATAATATTGATGATGATGATGATGATGATGATGATGATGATGATGATAATATTGATGATGATGATGATAATAATACTGATGACCATGATTATATTAGTAATGATGATGTAATAATAAGTAATAAAGATATAATAATAATAATAATTATAACAATAATAATAATATTAATGATGATGATGATGATGATGATGATATTAATGATAATAATACTGATGACCATGATTATATTAGTAATGATGATGTAATAATATGTAATAAAGATATAATAATAATAATAATAATAATGATGATGATAATAATGATAATAATAATAATTAATAATGATAATAATAACGATAATGATGATGATGACGATGATAAATTACATTCTTTTTTTTTTAAATGTGGTTAAAGTTTTGAAGGGTAATATATGAAATTGTTTGAAATTTATAATGATTATAGATACACTATTTTCCTTGGATAACCTAAATTTAAAAAATATTTGTAATGTTTAAAGAAATAAATAATTCAAGCATACTTTGTACTTTGTATTATTCTTACCACGGATGTCGGCCTTTGATCCAGGTTTAATAAATTGTGCTAAAGGTTTGCTTAATGTATGTGGGGTCGCTTCACACTGTACATAAAGTACCAGCAAATGATATCAAAATAAGTATTTCCATGAATAGTGATATAATTATGATACTTACAACATCGGGTGTAGCATGGTGTGTAGCGCTCGAAAAAATACGCTCAACACTTCGTCAAACTGTTGTAATAATTTCTGTTGTTTCCTTTTTATCATGAATCATGAAAAAAGACTACAAAAGTTATCATGTTTATAAATATTCTTTGGTTTGTGATGTTAAAAACTTATGTCTGGTATCATTATTCCTAATTAAACAAGTTCCAGTCAAACAAACTTTAAGTGTTACTAATAGTTTTGTTTTTACTATTGTATTATTGTCGAAACTATTTTCTTGTTAAAACAGTGTGCTTTTCTTTGAGTCATACCAACTTGTATCTTAGATTGCCAAAATGAATATAATAGTACCAATCTTCTAAAAGACAGCGTTTCTCAAGTTTTATTTTAATCATGTATGACTAACGTTATGTAAGAAACTACAGCTTAGGTTCGAGTCCCAATGATAACATTTTTACTCAGGTTTATGCAAGCCAACTTAAAGTAATATTATGCCCATCCAAGGGTACATAGTGAGTGAATAGGTGAAAGTCAAATAAGGTTTACAGTTTATCATACTTCCTTTTAATTTTATAATTTACTTCGCATGAACGATAAATAAATTATGTGGCCCAAGGATTTAACTGTAAAAAAATTCATCTGGGTTTACCTGTAACGTTCAATTTATAAAATACGTGGAGCAGTCTTTTATATTTTAGGCAGACTGATATTTTATCCTTAACATTTTCCAACATCAACTGTTGGTCATTTCCCATTATATCAGTCAATCGTTTGAAATATATAGTCAATTTAGCTCCGCTTGACAATGAAAATGAGTATAATGTCACTTTAATAAATTACAAAATAGTATGAGGAAATAAATGGATCAATTTGAAATATATTTGAAATATGTCTAAATTATCATTAAAGTATGATGATATAGTATTATTTTAAGATTATCTTAATACATGTACTTGTATTTGTATTTGGTTCAAGTAAATTTTGCTAGGCCGGCATCTGTAAAACAGATGATTAATACAGATAATAAATTATTTTTTTGCAAAGATACCTTACTTTATATACCTCCGCGTATTTAAGCCATACATGTAACCACAACGTCATTACGTCAGCAACGCCATTCCACAAGAAAACGACACTTAACACTTATTTTCTGTCTGCCAGATCTATTTTATGTATGTGATAAAGCAAAATATGTGCAGGTTAATAATGAAGATGTAGACCATGGTTAACCTTTGTAATTCTATACATTTACCAACATCATGACATTATTGCCTTTATAAATTCATTTTATTCCTGATTGTCTTTTCTTACATTTAATTGTTACATTTATCGAACACTTTTAATAAAACAAAAAGCTTACATTACAGATTTTTTTCGGTATAATATCATATAAATTTACTGTTTATAATGATCAAATTCATTGATAATAGGTTGATCAAGGTTTTCTCTGTAAAAAATACAGATTTTCTTTTTAACAGAAATCCATTTTCATAAGTAACAATTGATAAACAAAGGCTTTTTCATAGAAAAACCAAGCGTTTTTGCTTATGACCATCGCATTCGACTTTCAGATTTAATGAAAAGGTGTTTCAGCTTTAATCAAATATTGTTTACGATTTAAGATATGGGCGAGCGGGGTTCAGTTAATTTAATCCAAAGAAAATTTTTGAAGATGCAGGTTTTATATTATTCTAAATCATTCCAGTTAAAACAAACCCTTGAGTGGCTCATATCTATCAAATTATGAATTGTTATTATAAAACTGAATATGAATGCTAAATACCAGGTGTAGGTATTTGTATTTATTTACTTTTTCACATGCAGTTATAATACTCAACAAGTAGTTGAAATACACAACACGTGTTTAAAAGTTACGCCTAAAATTTATAGCTTTTAAGCCTTCTGGTCCTTTTTGTAATATGTTGCATAATGTATTCAACTATTTTATTATTATTATTTAACTTAACAAATTGTGAAATGTTCGTTTTCTGTTTGGAATGGCAACATGAAAATTTAAAGATTGTCAGCCAAAGGTATTGAGCCTGGTAAGACTGTTCGATTAAGCAAAACTAACCGGACTTTATACTGAAGGCAAAGGCTAACTACTTTCATTGAAGCAGGTTAAGGTTTAATTAAGGAACTAAAGACAAACACATTTGTTAAGTTTTCTGCCAGTCGCAAGGACTGACTTTCATGTTTTGACACAGACAATATGATAATGCTATCTTAAATTCTTTATATGACAAGTAACCTGCGTATTTCACTTGCGGAGAAATAGGTAATTACATGCTAGTTATCCAGGAAACCGGTTAGGTGGACAGGCCGCCGAGTCATGATAAAAACTGCGTTAAAATCAGCATAAAAACCAACAAACCAACCAACCAACCAACCGATCAACCAAACAAATCGCCGTATTTATTTGTGGTTGTCTTTGATTTGTTTAAGCATATAAATAAAGAACATCATGCTATATGTGTAAAGACATTCAACATGATATATATTTTTTTTTTAAAAAAACGTGTTTTTATAAAATTCTGGAAAAGAGATGATGTCTCGGAAGCAATGAAATATACAATATTATATGGAAACTGCAGGATCGTTTTGATTGAGTATGTTCATGAACGGGAGATAATGAAAGAGTGCAATATACAAGTATCTCATGTTCATCACCACACTTCCCCCACTCCCGGCTTAAGCGGTATTCAATGTTCAAAATTAACGTGCTGAATCTCTGGTCCCGGAGGACCAGAACAAAATATAGCGACACTAAAGTGAAGTACGGCTGCTCTTCGGCACATGACGTCAACTGTTGTGAAGTATAAAACATTTGAAAGTGCAACATCTCTCAATCTCTCACTCCCCTTTCCCCCACCCCAACCCCACCCCCAATC